TTGGGATTGTTTTTCTGCTCTTTCTTTGCTTTGCTAACTTCATGGCTCAGTTTTCCAAGAGTTAAGTGTATTCAAGGCTGCAGGTCTTTGAGACGAGGGTCTACCTGCAGTTGCCAGCTTTCTAATAAAGACTCCTGATTGGACCTCTCAAAATATGGCTTCTCTGTGTCTCACAACTGAATTCCTGTACAACAAGAGTAGCAAGGATGGTAAGTTTGAGCCACCAGCTACTGGTTTATGTTGTGTTTTTTTAATTAATATAAAGGACAGTATAATTAATCTTTAACATATGAGAGAATTACTAATTAACTAGAATAATCAATTAACTTTCCTTTCGACAAGTTTATGGGAATTATCTAGGTTGCTAAAGATCCACAATGATGAAATATCCTTGATATACATTTGAGTATCTAAATAAAATGTTTTGTACAAAACTGGTTCATAAAGCCTGGATATACACCTGTTACTGAGTTGACACGTTATTTTGTCTATAATTATTTAATGGAAATAGCGTCTGAGAGCTGTGGCAGGGATGGCAAAAGCTGCTTTTGTTCCATGAAAGAATCATTAGGGACTTGTTAAGTCTGTTGAAGAGAACAGTCTCTCCCCTCCCCCACGCACCAGCTTCCACTTCATGAAAGACAGCCTTACCAGAAATCACCTGCCCGAAACTAGTAAGCACCTGACTGTCAATCACTTGACCAAAATAAAAGAAAAAACAAAACCATATGTTGACCTAGGATCACTGGTGCTTTATCTGCCTGGCTCAGAATCAGCCATTTCTCCATGAATTCCAGCCTGCTTCACCCCCGCATTGCAGTGGAAGGTTGCTGCTCTTAAAGTCTCTCTTGGTGAAAGTGAGACAGCACTCTATTGTAATCCAGTAACAGCACCTTCCTCCAGCATTTCCTCTTTATTAGTCTGTTCCTCCCTCCTTGCCATGGTGAGAAACTTCTGCAGCTTTCAGTGTTCCCTTACCTGTTCTTTTCTCCTTGGCAGCAAATCTTTCAACCCAGGGTCCTGCATTGAAAGAATGGCTGCCACTCCTTCTGTGTGTCCTGTCATGGAAGGGCTTCACACAGTGTCATCTCTTGTCATCAAAGACTACAAGAAAAGTCTATCACTGTGGGGAAATGAAAAGAATACAGATTATATTTTGGTCAAAGTTTAGAAGTTTTCCCTCTGTGGCAGTCATCACTCAGTTAGATTCTATTGCTCTCATTTTACAGAACTTTGGTCAGCCTCATCAATTTCTCCAGCATCTCAGCCAAAAGGCACCTTGTGCTGACCATCTCCAGGATACAGTCCATCAAACTGACACCTCAAGTGTGGTCACAGCTGGGGTCTAACACTATTAGACAGCATCCTTTAAACAGAGAACACAGTGGTATGAACTGCAGCTTTCCAGTCCAGCAGATGGATAGTGCAATCAGTGCTGAGATGACACGGGGCTGTCATAAATGCTCAGATTCCCAAACTCTCTTAAATTAAGGAGACGTAAGTCCCCAAATGAAGAATCCTCAAACTGCTGAATTTATTTACCCTATAAAGGAAGGGAAGAATTTCCATAGCCGTTGCTTTATTTAAAGCCAACTTCCATTGAATTATATATATTTTCAGGCTAGTTAGTGCCATGGAGATTTCACTTCAGCATATCTTTTTTTAAAAAATTTTTTATTGTGAAAATACTGCACAGAGGGGTTAGAATTACATGAGCAAGATAGTGAGCACATTTCTTATTAAGCATTGTGGCCTCCTCCCCACCCCCACCAAAATGGTAAAATTCGTTTTCGACATGACAACTTGTACTTCTCATTGTTGCAACGGATCCACTTGTATCATTATTTAAACGACTTGTTTTTCCCCTTCCCCTCCACAAATTATACCGACATCAAATACATTGAAAGCAAGGGTTATACTGTGGGGGAGGCACATACAAAGCAACAAAGAAATAATCTTATAAATGCGTTAGAAACAAATGCATGAAAGAAAAAAAAACATTTAAATACATATCTTAGGATTCATTTTCCTAACTTCACCTTATCTGACCTTTTCTGCTTGGCTCATACATATACTAGATATTGCAAATAAGGGAAACCATGGGACCTATCTTTCTTTGGGCTTGGCTTACTTCACTTAATATAATTTTTTCCAAGTCTTTCCATTTCCTAACAAATGGGTCAATGTCATTCTTTCTGATGGAGGCATAGAATTCAAATAATTGACTAAAGGATTCAATGTTACTGTTTCTGAGAAAAAAAAGAACATTTATTGGCTCTTTCTGTTCATTGTCTACTTGGATATTTCTTTTTTTATTTTAAATTACCTTTAAGTGGTTGTACATTCAACATAGAAGTTTATGAATGCAATGTATTTTGATCCATGTCATCTCTTTCATCATTCTCCCCACATCTTTTCCAACCTTATCCCTTCTCTCTACTTTCTATGTCGCTCATTTGTCCATCTATTAACTAGGTTGTGAGACCCCAGGTTTCTGTGCTTCCAACGCTAGATGGTACTGATTGAAGTCCTATTTCCTTAGTCTTGACTCACCTTTTCATATGGGTGAAACTCTCAGGCACATACCTTGGCGTTTAGTACTCTTTTGTAATTGTTTTGATTATAGTCCTTCTCTGATCTGTAAGATTATGGGGTGGGGGGGATCTTCTGCCTTAATTGTGTTTCCTCCTCACACACATGCAGGTATACATGCATGTATACTTGCACAAACATTTATACAATATATCCCCTCATACACACGCATAGCCTTTTTAGGAAAGCAGGAAGAGATGGAAACTTGTAAAAAGGGAGATAAAGTTTGTTCTCAGAAATACATTCTTACAAAATCAAAATATCTTTCCTATTATTCAGTTGCGTGAGATCCTAAATAAAACATTCCATTTAGAATAAGATATAGAGAAAAGTATTCACTAAATAATGCTTGATTCACACTATTTCTATTGTTTCTAATTTTCACTCACTATTAATACACTAGATGAGTACTTCTTATGCTGAGCTGCTGTAAAGTGGGGGTAACATGACTTATTTTACTGGATTGATTTGGGGATTACTTGGTGAAATTTGCCATGTACATCCTCTGGCCATGGAGCTTGGGCCATACCAGCCAGCCAAGCATCTCCTCAATCCCTTTTATAAGTACATGATTGCTTGCAAGAATCCTATAAGATGTCTTACCATCACCGTGTATCATCCCAGGAAAGTAAGTCATAGAGTGATCAAATCACTTGTCCAAAAGTTGCATGGCTGGCATACACTCAAAAATGTTACTGTGTTACCAAGTGCCTTGGTACTGAAGTGTGACATTTTCCTTCAAAGGAAGGGAAGGTCGTTGAAGGGAACATTTGTTGTAATGCAGTATCCTGACCTTCACCACTGTTGAAGATGCAGGGTTTTCTCAATAGGATTCAGTCTAAACTAATTAGCCACATGCAGGGAGGTTGCATACCTCTCCCTTTAGGCTTGCTTGCTCCCCACTGCTCTCTCTGGGGTGCTCCCATTATCTTCCCTGTGGACTGGGTAACACCTAGAGATAGTCATACTGATAGAATACTGATGCTGTTGACAGAAATAAGAATTGTAGGGACAGTATGGGCACATATAGACAGTAAGGTACTAGATGGACAGCCAATGAGACTGGTCCAGCGTGAATTCCTTGAAAAAGTCCAGAAAGGGGATCTTCATGGATGTTTACAGAGATGGGAGGGATGGAAACATGTGCACAGATAATGCTGAAAGAGATTCCTTGTACTCTGTCTTGCATGATACAAGGCCCATAGTACATTATTGTGTCTGCCTTTCTAGTTAGCATCTGCTGAGCTACTGTGACCATATTTGTTTCATAGATAAAGCAGCCCACATTTGGGATGATGAACTTTTATACCTTCAGTCTCATAGCTGGCCCAAGTGTCACAGTGAAGGCTCAGCTTTTAAACAGTATAGTGTTGGCTTGGTGATGGTGGCTCACTACTGTAATCCTAGCTGCCCAGGAGGCTGAGATCTGAGGATCACAGTTCAAAGCCAGATCAGGCATGAGATGCTTATCTCCAATGAAGCACCCAAAAAAAGCCAGAGGTGGACCTGTGGCTCAAGTGGTGGAGTGCTATTATTGAGGAAAAAAAGCTCAGGGACAATACCTAAGCATTGAGTTAAAAATCTGAAAGCCTAAGAACATCTTGATATGGCTCATAGTTTACAGGGTTGAGTCTCCTTTACCCTTTTTGCCTAGGTCAACACCCCTTCTTGTGGGCTGTGCTCAGTGTGTATGTGGATTTTCTCCATTTCTTCATAACTCCTTACCAGGTCTCCAGGTATAATTCAAGGCCTATTTCCCAGTCCTCCCCTTCCCTTATCTCTATTTGTCTTGACTCACACTCTTGGGCCTAGTCTTTGGATGTGAATCCACTGCCTTTGGACTTTTCCTTCCAGCCCTAACTAAATAGTGATTTCTTATAAGTAACCTAAAATAACTATTTCACTGCAAAGACACATTGTAGCCCATGAGGAGTACATATTCAAGGTGGAGTTGTATAGACAAGATCCCATATGCTGTACAGAAATTGTGAATAGGTAAATACTCTCATTTATTGTCTGGTTCAAATCTGAATTTGTAAGATGTTGGCATTGTGAGTTGTAAACTTGAGTTAGATTGAGCAGATCAAGTTAATGTTACCTGTCTTCTCCCTGCCTACTGCTTTTTGTGGAATTATCCAGCTTCCTCCAGCAGGATTGGAACTAAAGGTTACAGTGACATTTCCTTCATCTTTGCATCCTAAGGGATGCCTATCAATTGGGCTCTGGATACCTAAGAAATCTTAGAGTCTAGTTCAATGAATGACTAATGAAATATTGGGTAGGTGTGTTGCATGTTCTTGGTCTGAGCTAGTTGCATGGTGGAGAAAAAGAAAAGAAATGTAATGTGTGAAGAAATGTGAAAAGAAATAAAACAAACCAAAGTTTCCTTTGTGTTTTTATTTCCAAAGGTGTTTTTGAAGCTTTTGCAAGATTCCAACAAGAAATCTCACATTGCTCTGGGGACCACGTTAGAACCTCAAAATCAGAGGCCTACTGGACCTCTAGTTGGCTACTGTAAGTATAGAGAGCTTGTTTGCATTTCTGCTCCAGGAACCAAGCCACCAACCTCATTCACTATCTCTTTTATAAAGGAATAACAAAAGCCTGAAGCTCTGAAGGATGGGGTAGAGGAAGTGGATGGTAAGGGAATGTAGGTGAATACAGGTCAGAGGAAGAAAGAGTTTCCTTTTATTCTGATCGCACATAGGACCACATGTGTAGGTCCTTGGGTGAGTTCCTGGAGTTCTTTTGCCTTTGTAAATCCTTCTTTCCTGAAAATTGGCATTGCTAGGTTCTCATAAACACCATCATCCTAATAATTTAAGTCAATTTTTATTGTGAAAAAAAAAACATTGCCTTTCTACAATGTCTTTATCATGGTCATACATCTGGTTTGAGAAGTAATAGTTTAATATTCTAAACCTGAGGAGCTTTAGGAAAAGTCATGTCAATGTGTTTGATGTGAGGTGTGTAATAGAGGCTAATGCTGTATGGAAAGCAGGATGTTTAAAGACAGAATCCTCAGGAAAGAGGAATTACAGTGTTTTCCATCATTAAATACAAAATATGACACAGCCATGTAATTTTATCACTCACATAACAGATTCTGGAACTAGAATATAATTTAAAATTATTTAAGTCTTTCATTACTAATAAAGAAGCAACTCCAGTATATATTAAGACAAATTTGGAATGCAATCACCTGAATTTGCCAATGTTATTGTATTCTGTAAAATTCTCACATAAAATGCAATGTGAGCTAAATTTATGTTCCTTAGTAGATTGAACTTTATCAAAATGTTAAATCAGGGCCCTGGTGAGCATGTATAATAATGTCTCCCAAATAAAGTGACTGACTCACTTTTTCCCCCTTGGCGTGATTCACCCCAGAGAAATTCAATTTCTAGAAAATCCATTAGCAAATGCCTTCTCCTATTGGTGCCTGGAAGATTATTCTTTTGTTATTGATGTCTGTTTCCAGAGGCGCCTGCCTGTGGCCACCCTCTCTCTCTACCCATGCCATGTGTCTTTCAAGGGCCAGCACTCAAATAACTCACTGCTTGCCACCCTGAGAGATTGATGAAGGCTGAATAAAATATAAAATATATACTTTCTAATCACAGAGACTCTAGCAGCTCCACAGAAATGAGTTATGAAGATAGATGCCTGGAGCAGCACGTGGTGCTGGTCTGCACTGTGGGTCTGGAAGTCACTTCCTTATGGAGAAAAGAGCTATTTATCAGCTGCCGAGGCAGATCAGATTCTGAGATGGGCACTTTAGGTGCACATGGTTTTTCATATTTACTCTGCATGGGCAGCTTGGAAATAGATTTGAGGTTTAGAAGTTAGCTGAACTTTACCAAAATGAAATTCCTTTTTAGGCACTATACCTACCATGGGATCTCTTAGGATCATTTTCTTTTGTGTTTTGGGCAAGATCTTTTTTTTTTGTCAAGCATGGTGACATATATCTGTAATCTGGGAGGCAGAAATGGAAAGGTTTGTGGTTTAAGGCCAGTTGGGTAAAAAAGTTATTGAGATCCTTAATCTCAAAAATAAGGCCACTGTGCTAGTGTGAGCCTGTGATCTCAGCTATGGGAAAAAGTAAATAGGAGAAACACAAAATCCTGGCAAAAAATGTAAGACTCACTCTGGTGAAATAACGAAAGAATGAAAAGGCTAGGGATGTGACTCAAATGGTAAAGCATTTGCCTAGCAAGTGTAAGGCACTGAGTCCAAACTTCAGTACCACAAATTAATTAATTAATTAGGTGGGGGTGGGAAGGATTAATGAAGTAATATTTGAAATAGACATAGATAATTAGATAAATTGGAAGATTTCCAGAGAAAGGAGTGATCTCAGATTAGGTTGATTGCTTAGACAGTCCCATAAAGTAAGGATTACTGAGCTATAACCCCCTATTGTCTGACTCAGCAGATCTGGGATGAGGCCCAAAGACTTAGCCCCCCCGCCCCCCCAAGCATACGTTAGTTATACAAATAGAGGTTCCATGGACATTGCCACAGGTGTACAGGTACCCTATCATCCCTACCCCTCTATCAGTCTCTCCCACAACTCTCCTTCTAAAACAATTTCAATGGTTTTGTATCTTCATAGAGGCAAATGACATACTCCAGCCGTCTTCCTCCTCATTCATTTGTCCCATTTGCTCTCCCCTCTCCAGCTGACTGCTCTTCCCTATAACAAAGGTCATTTTATGTACCTGTCATTTATTTCATTTTACTTTTTCAGTGTGTGTTAATGGAACCAAGGGGTTTCACACGTGCATGTGTTATATCTTAGTCAAAACAATCTTTTTTTTTGGTGGGGGGGGTCCGGTTGTGGGGCCTGAACTCTGGGCCTGGGCGCTGTCCCTCAGCTCTTCAGCTCAAGGCTAGCACTCTACTACTTGAGCCATAGCAACACGTCTGGCTTTTTTTTTTTTTCTGCTTATGTGGTGCTGAGGAATCGAATGCAGGGCCTCATACATGCAAGGCAAGCGCTCTACCACTGAGCCACCTTCCCAGCCCAATCTTTTCCCTTGCTTCCTCCCTTCCTGTCTTCTTGATCAACAGACATTATTGAGATTTCTTATACCATCATCAGACATAATTGTGATATATTTCAATATTATTCATCCTCCATTCTTCTTTCTTTCCCCTCATTCATCTCCCTAAATAGTCCCATAGTTACAATCATGGTATCTATCTATCTATCTATCATCTATCTATCTATCTATCTATCTATCTATCTATCTATCTATCTATCTATCTATCTATCTATCTATCTATCTATCTATCTATCTATCTATCTATCTATCTATCTATCTACCTATCTACCTATCTACCTACCTATCTATCTATCTATCTATCTATCTATCTATCTATCTATCTATCTATCTATCTATCTATCTATCTATCTATCTATCTATCTATCTATCTATCTATCTATCTACCTATCTACCTAACTATCTACCTATCTACCTATCTATCTATCTATCTATCTACCTATCTACCTATCTACCTATCTACCTATCTACCTATCTACCTATCTATCTATCTATCTATCTATCTATCTATCTATCTATCTATCTATCTATCTATCTATCTATCTATCTACCTATCTACCTATCTACCTATCTACCTATCTATCTATCTATCTATCTATCTATCTATCTATCTATCTGTCTATCTATTTTTGCCCACAAATCTAAAGGACATCTATGTATGTCTAACGTTTCCCCAATCTCTTGAATCTTTCCCATTGGGGTGTAAAATATCCTTTTGGTTCTTTCTTAGGAAAATCACAACAGCAGAAGATGAATAAAACTTTCCATTCATAAAATCGTTTAGTAAATGCCTCCTTAGCCCCTCCCTTGTAGAGGACAGCTTTTCCCTTGAAGGAGTATGGAGAGTTGCTCTGGTGTTTGTGCTCTGACCCCCCTTCCCTTGTGTCTTAGCCCATTCAGGCATGTGTTATTCTGCCATCCCTGGCCCTCCAAAGGCCAGTTTTCCTTTTGTGGTGGTCCAGCCTGCCATCAATTTCAAGCGGAAGTGTCTGCACTCTCAAAGCAGTACCAGCTCCCTCTTTAGGTGCAACACTCTCTTTGGTCCTTAATATATCAATTTCTGCTTTCCTGGTGGCGTTCTTTACCCTGGCCTCCACACTGACTTCCAAAGGCCCAGCTGGCCCTGAATACTTTGCTTCCTGACCCTCCAGGCTGCCCACAGCCCTCTCTATCCCAACACAAGCTTCTTCATCTTCATGAAGCTACTGTTTACATATCTGGCACTTGCTCAGGTTGCTTCTCTGGACCTGACTGTCTTTGGGCATCTCCATTTGAGGATTACTATCAAAGCATGTTCCAACAAACCTCATGTGTCCACCCAAACATCTTTATGCTCCATCTGTGTTCTTGATGTTGGAGACTAAGTGGAATATCCAAGTCACTGGTGACAGTCTTATTTTCTTTTTCTCCTTTTTCCTACACAGCTCTGAAAAACATCAGTGTGAAGTGTGTGCTCCGAACACACTTCTGTTTTTCTCACTTGGAATATTTAGTGTTTAGTGGATTTTCTCTGGATTCAGATTCTGCCCTGATGAATCTCTATGATAATATATGGCCAGATGACCCATGCCTCTCTGCATTGTCTTCTGCTTCTCTTCCCGTTTCTTGGACAGATTAAATCTACACTTGTCCCCACCCCATGTTCTGTCTTCAATCTTCTCTCTGCTTATATTTCAATCTCTTCTGCAAAGCCTTCCCCAGATCAATAGATGAGGTCAGATCTCTTTGGATAAGATATTCACAGCATCCTTGAGAGATTGTATTCAAACAGCAGATTATGCTTGCTTTGTAAACATCTGTGCCCATTCAAAGACTGTAAGCTGGGGAAGGCAGGCCTGGAGCTGTTGTCTTATTTATTGCTGTAGCCTGGGCATTGAATGTGGTGTCTTTCCCTAATATATGAAACATGGTTCTTACCTAGTTGACCAGATGGATGAATAGGGGCTCCTGCAGCCCTGTGTTTGGGAAGAAGTGGTTGCGTTCACCTTACCTGGTTCATAGATGGGACTTTGATCATGTGCTGGTTGGGAGGTGCATTTAGCACTTGGAGGAGCTCACCAAGGACCCCTTCACCCTGCAGAATGAACAGCCTCATAGTGCCAGCGACACTGATGCATGGCTACTGATAATTGTCACGTAAGAGACTTTTATTAAAAGAAAATCTAAAAATATTATGGGTGTTTATTAAGATGATGTATTCTTAGTCCCAATTATCACAAACCTTAGATCTGAAGACATGAGCATTTACATGTGTGTGAATTCAGGGCCTGGGCACTGTCCCTGAGCTTTTTTGCTCAAGTCTAGTGCTACCACTTTGAGCCTTAGCTCCACTTCTGATTTTTAAGTGGTTAATTGGTGATAAGAGTCTCACAGATTTTCCTTCCCAAGCTGGCCTTGGACAAGATCTTCAGATCTCAGTCTTCTAAATAGCTGAGATTACAGGCC